TATCATTCTGTGTTACGCACATACACGTGTAGTAATGGGAATTATGAAGCCTAAATGTGTCTAAGCGAGTTTTCAATTACATTTCCCCAGATAATACAGTGTTGATCTACTTACTTTCACTGTGTGAACAGACAGGCAAGAGAAGAGCTCTGGGAACTCCATGCTCCTGAATACATCTCACTCTTCAGATTAGCGTCAACCTACGAGCGTAAAGACAGACAAAGTGTTGAAAGTGAACTATCACGACTGAATAAAAACACCCTGCCAGACGCTGGTGAGTTGGGTTATGTCTCGTGTGACACACAGGGGGATACATGGAAACAGAGGGTCCTTAACGCACGCGGGATGAATGATGGTGACATTACCACGGTGTATAAATCATATATACTCTAACTATTCAGGTGTTAGAACATTGTCGTCCAAAGTTACTTTGTATTGTCACATGCATACACCTACAGTGCCGCAAAGTGTCTAAGGACTATTCCCAGTGATTATACGTTTTTAGTTAATACTGATACTTTTCTTATTGAAAAGATTCGAAGACAGTTTCACCTGAATTATGAACCTTGGCGTTGTGACTTTGTTGTCCTGAGTCTTATGTCTCCGACTACATCATGGAATGTCTTCACAACTAATAAATGAAAAACAAACCTGGCCAACCTACTGTAAAGGTTGGCAACTAAAGTAGTCCACGTTTAAGGGAGTAAGTGGTATATTGGTAACGGTCACATACTCCTCGTCATAACGACTGATTGGCAACGTTCAATACATCCTCCTCGTTATAACGACGTGGTAACGCTCAGCACATACTCCTCGTTTTTAAGACGGATTGCTGAGGCTCAGCACATACTCCTCGTTATTACGACGGATTGGTAACGCTCAGCACATACTCCTCGTTTTTACGACGGGTGGGTAACGCTCAGCACATACTCCTCGTTATTATGACGGATTGGCAACGCTCCACATACTCCTCGTTCTTACGACGGATTGGTAAGGCTCCACATACGCCTCGTTATTACGACGGATTGGTAAATCTCAGCAGATACTCCTCGTTATTACGACGGATTGGCAACGCTCACCACATACTCCTCGTTATTACGACGGATTGGTAAGTCTCACCACATACCCCTCGTCGGTACTACGAATTGGTAAGCTAAACATTTAACACATCCTCCTCGCTATTACCACAGATTGGCAACGTTCAACATATATATACTCTTCGTCATTACGAAGGATTGGTAACGTTTAATACATCTTCCTCGTCATTAGGTTTGATTGGTAACGTTCATTTGCCTCCTCGTTAGGATGGATTGGTTAGGTAGCCGGATTTAATAACACTTCCTGTGAGTATTTTATGGCAATGGAAAGTTTACACAATTCATGAATGACAGAAATGTTGGGATTCGAACCCGGGTCTTAGGCGTGACGAATGAAAGCTTAACCACTATCCCATCGCCCGGATTGAACTGGCATTGGTTTGTGGTGGAGGTGCTATAGTGCCAGTGGTAATAGAAATACCATAAAATCCATTTCAGATTCCAATATGACAGACTGGTTCTCTCACCACTCACTGCATTATTACTGGTATTCAATACACCAAATTCCTTCAACGCAATACATTAGATAATGATTCATGCAATCCTGAAATACTTTCATGCGGAATTGAAGTATGGATTCAATCTGTCTACATGTACGATGGGGAACCTATTCAGTGTCATTAATCAATGGGGTGTACGTGAAGACGGCTCACTGCTACGTGTTATGTTCTAAGTTCGCAAATTCGAGTCAGTAATTAGCTGTATTTATCCCGTATTGTAACGTTGTTGAATCTTCCTGCTGGAAGGACATCAGCTGCAAATGAGATTTACGAAGCCTATTATTCGGACCACGTCATACGCCATGAAACATTTATCAGTTGGGAGAGATTCTGTAGAAAACTTGGTTTCATGCCAGACCAGATGACAACTTCAAGAACTTCTCTTACAAGGTTCTTGGAAACATAAGATATCAATAACCTTATTTGGTCGTAAAACCCTCGCATTTGTGGGCAGCTGCAGCAGTACTCCCGAGAATCAGCCAGCAGCGGCCATCCTACAGACGTTTCGATCGCCATCAAGCATGTATGTGGCTATATGTGCTGACCACCGTTTAATATCAACCGTCCAGTAGCACAAATGGATCTGGGTGTCTTGGACTGTGTGTCTGATCCTTTACGCATGCGTGGTATCTCCTCGAACCCCGAGGGCTGATGGTGAAAGGTTGCAATTGAATATAAACACCGATGGTGAGTCAAACATTCGGTGGGATAGAAAATATAATATTATTTACAGCACATTGAAGATCATATCCTTATGATACCTAAGTTAGAGTGAGTGGGTAAATGAGTATTGTTTTATGTCGATTTTAGCAGTATTCCAGCAATATCAAATCGGGGGACACATTGTACCAATGTTGAGAATCGAACTCGAGTCTTCGGCGTGACGAGCGAACGCTTAACCACTAGACTACCCACCGCCCCCGGAAATTAGAAGGGAACGAGACAGCACAAACGCACTGACAGGCTTCATGCGTTTCCATACTATACCACTCAAAGGAAGTTACGGAGCATTGATCCTATCATATCACAGTAGCTGGGTACTACTATTTAACGCCCGGTAACATTCTGGAGCGTCCGGGGGGTATCATCAGACGTCCGGAAGAACACCAAAAACCCCATAAAACTTTATTATTTAGTATTATTCTCCCGGGTGTCCCCTGGCGTTGCCCTGGCGTTGCCCTGGCGTTCCCTGACGTTAATTAGGAGGACCGCTGTAGTTGATAAGGAGATAAACCTACTGTTTTGAAAATTAATGTAGTCCCACTGCAGCGTAGATACATACCTCTTGTTTTAATTTGGAACCGACCGCATTAGCATCTAGTGTATGAAACAGGACATAATTCAGTATAAGTGTCAAGTAGACAACCATTCTTCGATTGGAATTAAGAGATGTGTTGTTACAGATTAAACGTTTAATTGGTTGTATACCGCAAACTCACTGACGGCGCAGGGATAATGCGTTTTGATTTTGTTTCGCAACGTTACAGAATACAGCCGACAGATCTCTGATCAATACTCGTGCATGTTCGCGCAATATTGACATGACTGGAACGTGCAATCAAGGGAAGTCAATTCCATATTTGGAAATTGTTACCGTATGTCAACAATCACGATCAGTAAGCAATATTGTCTGTGGTATGCTTTAAAATAGCATGTATCGATAGTTACGCGTTATTTATTTTTTACATTTTTTCGGTAAAACGTAGACATTATAATTAGAATCGGCAAACTGACGTCAGTTTATCGGCACTGATCCTTAGAATGGTTGTCAACAGACATTATACTCATACTACCCTGACCTCGGAGAATATTCGATTGCGATTGGTTAATAAGTGGTAACAAACTTACCCTAACATGCCTTTTCTTCGTGAAACCATATAACTGTACAGGCGATTGTTTTGTTTTTTGTTTTTTGTTTAACGCCGCAATATTCCAGCAGTATGACGCCGATCTATAAATAATCGAGTCTGGATCAAACTATTTAGTGATTGACATCATGAGCATCGATCCACGCAATAGGAATACCATTGCAAAACTAAGTCGTGTCATACATGATTCTCAAACTTAGAACATTTCACAGCATGTGCTGGTCGTCGTGTCAATAATCGAGCCTGGATCAGTGGAACCACGGATTGATATCATGAGCAACGATCAACGCCGTCGTGGAATGAACCATGTCACAAACCCCTGTTCAAGACTGTCTACAGGTGCATTGTATCACTGTACATGTGCTCTGACCAAACATGTCCTCTCCCAACCCTAATTTGCAAGGCTCGTAGTGTGGGACGTTTATCAAGCACAGGTCCCTATACATTTACCTTGAAATGTTACATGCAGTGTGTGCTGTTTTGGTGCATTCGATGTGGGTCAAATGTTTCATTGGGACTAAATCCTCTTGAAAAGATTCAATGACCTTCCAAGACACACGAGTTATGTCATGCATAAGTGCGACAAACCACCCAAGGAATTGCCTTGTATTATCAGAAACATCTTTCGGGGACAGTTAAGGCAAGATATGTGTATGGATAACAAGTTCTTTATTCTATTATGATTAGGCGTTTCGGTATAGATCTCTTGACTCTTACTTGACAACGGTATAAGGATCTATACCGAATCACTGCATCATAATACAATATGTTGAAGAAGTTGCCATCCATAAACATATTTTGCGTTTACTGTTACTTACCAGCTTCTAAAAATGTCAATCTAAAAGTGCATCTTTCGGGGAGTCTTTCAGTGCAAGGAATTCATTGCTGACTTCAAAAAATACATTTCGATATCCAAGCGGTTTTCTTCCTTCCCAGCAAAGAATGGAGTGACATCGCAACTATTAGAACATGACATAGTGACAATGCCTTTCTTTCCCGTGGGCCTAAAGTGGTTCCAGTTTCAATTGCAGCTATATCTGGTTTTCTTGACTACGCCAAATAATTACCATGCTTTATCAACTAGTATCTGCTGGACGTTTGTTATCATTATAACGACACCACCTGTGCCAGCAGTCCTAATCCTCGCCTTCCTGGGCCCACTATGTTCAGCAGCAGATAGAGGCAACACCAGCTCCTTCGTGTGAGCACTGCTCTTGACGTTTCAGGTGATGTGACGACTCAAGAGAACTGTAAACCTGTTTCCCCTCCTATTCTTTTGAAATAACTTGTTCAATTAGAAATGGAAAGAACTCAGTTTTGTTCTCACAAATTCGCCGGAAGCTTTGCCAGTTACTTGGGGAAGTGGCCCAGTTTGAACCTTCTCCTTAGACTCCTGCTACGTTTTTCTCTGATTGATTCTGTAAGACTGTCTGTTTTTTCGGTGTCCGTAACAATCTCCAGTCCGTCCACACGCTCAAGGTACTGGACAGAAATATATTGTTGATACAACCTTGAAATGGTCTGGATATTCTTGGATGAAACATCTGTACAATCATGGCGCCGTCAACCATCTGCACAACCGTGGCGCCGTCAACCATTTGCACAATCTTGGCGCCGTCAACCATCTGCACAATCTTGGCGCCTTCAACCATCTGCACAATCTTGGCGCCTTCAACCATCTGCACAACCATGGCGCCGTCAAGCATCTGCACTACCGTGGCGCCGTCAACCATCTGCACAACCATGGCGCCGTCAACCATCTGCACAATCTTAGCGCCGTCAACCATCTACTCAATCTTGGCGCCTTCAACCATCTGTACAACCATGGCGCCGTCAACAATCTACACAATCTTGGCGCCTTCAACCATCTGCACAATCTTGGCACCGTCAACCATCTCCACAACCATGGCGCCGTCAACCATCTGCACAATCTTGGCACCGTCAACCATCTCCACAACCACGGCGCCGTCAACCATCTGCACAATCTTGGCGCCGTTAACCATCTACACCATCTTGGCGCCTTCAACCATCTGCACAACCATGGCGCCGTCAAGCATCTGCACAACCGTGGCGCCGTCAAGCATCTGCACAACCATGGCGCCGTCAACCATCTGCACAACCATGGCGCCGTCAAGCATCTGCACAACCGTGGCGCCGTCAACCATCTGCACAACCATGGCGCCTTCAACCATCTAAACAACCACGGCGCCGTCAAACATCTGCACAATCTTGGCGCCTTCAACCATCTGCACAACCATGGCGCCGTCAACCATCTGCACAACCATGGCGCCGTCAACCATCTAAACAACCACGGCGCCGTCAACCATCTGCACAACCATGGCGCCTTCAACCATCTGCACAATCTTGGGGCCTTCAACCATCTGTACAACCATGGCGCCGTCAACCATCTACACAATCTTAGCGCCTTCAACCATCTGCACAATCTTTGCGCCGTCAACCATCTACTCAATCTTGGCGCCTTCAACCATCTGTACAACCATGGCGCCTTCAACCATCTACACAATCTTGGCGCCTTCAACCATCTACACAATCTTGGCGCCTTCAACCATCTGCACAACCATGGCGCCGTCAACCATCTGCACAACCATGGCGCCGTCAACCATCTGCACAACCATGGCGCCGTCAACCATCTACACAACCATGGCGCCGTCAACCATCTACACAATCTTTGAGCCTTCAACCATCTACACAATCTTGGCGCCGTCAACCATCTGCACAACCGTGGCGCCGTCAACCATTTGCACAATCTTCGCGCCTTCAACCATCTGCACAATCTTGACACAATCTGTGACAAGGGGTCCTGGTTGATTTTATGCTTCAAAAATAGTCGATGTTGCCTTCCCTTGACTCTCGCTATGTAATTCCTGGAACACATAGTCGCCCATGAGTGCTGCAGCATGAGTCTTTTGAGGAGAAGGAGTCCCCGTCTCGAAATCATCTTCTTTATTCTTCTTTTATTGGTTTGATCTGTCAACAAAACTTTCTTTGGCAAAACAATCATACTGCTCCCGGCCTATTTAGCGTTAGTTTCTGATATCCTCAGCTACATTATATTCCATAATGTTCCTGGTGTTTGGGGTTAGATCAGCACTATCTGACTTGATTTAAACATTTAAGTGTCAGTGTCCATTGTTAAAGCCTCATTTCAGGTAAAGTGAGAAGAGATACGAAGATCGAACATTGTATCTAATTTCTGCAATGTGAACACGTTTAACATTGAAATAACTCCATACACAGATCCATGGGGGGTGTCCACGATCCGCATCCGACCTCCACCCTTTTAAAATTATCTGAGAAAGGATTTTATATTTTGGACTCCTCCCTTTTTAAAATGCTGGATCCGCCCTTGAACTCGTTGCTTGGGTGGGGGTTCGTGAGTCAAAAACAAAGCTAGGCAGAAAGAAAATAAAATGTAAGTGAATGACTGAGTGAGTGAGGTTTTTGGGGGGTGGGCTGTGGGATGGTACGTTTAGGGTAGAGTGAGAGTTTACATCCTCATTCCGTAAGTGTCATTCGATATCGAACTGTTCCTTAATGCAACAGTTGCCTGTAAATAAATTCAACAAGAGAAAAATAGTTCAAAGCTTGAGCAGTGTAAATTGACATGGATTTCAACTTCGTTATCATTTAAATACGATGATTCGGTACAGATGCTGGTATCCCTTATCAACCAAGTGATCAGTTGGAAGGAGATGGTTATATAATAAAGATTACATATACACAGAGAATAACAAAACCTACAAAAAAACATTGTAAATATCCGATTCCCTTTTAGTCGAATTGCACGGGGACTTATTTTAACCACTGGAGAGTACTGCCCTGTGATGATGTAAATTCCAAACCCAACATATGTGTAAATATTGAATTAAGTTTTCAATTACATTTCCCCAGATAATACAGTGTTGATCTATTTACTTTCACTGTGTGAACTGACAGGCAAGAGAAGAGCTCTGGGAACTCCATGCTCCTGAATAGATCTCACTTTTCAGATTAGCGTCAACCTACGAGCGTAAAGACAGACAAAGTGTTGAAAGTGAACTATCACGACTGAATAAAAACACCCTGCCAGACGCTGGTGAGTTGGGTTATGTCTCGTGTGACACACAGGGGGATACATGGAAACAGGGGGTCCTTGGCGGCGAATGGTGGTGACATTACCCGATGTATAATATATATCACATATACTTTAACTATACAAGTGTTATAACCTTGGTGCCCTAAGCCACTTAGTGCATTCGCATACACCACCAGTGCCGGCGCCATAGTTTGGGCGTTATAAGAGTGTAAGGATATTATATGGATAACGTACAGTGTTATAAACAATGTAATATTATCAAATGTTTTGCTGCGATACATACCTTTCCGCGTGAAGATCTTTGGATGCCTCAAAAGGAGGTCGCGTCAGGTGAACTTTAAAATCAACCAATCAGCGTCGAGGTTTCTTAACCCTCGGTACGAATGAAGAAAGTATTCAAACCAGCATATCTGATTTCTAAAAGAAACGAAATTAATCGGAATGGTTCCATTTGGAAATGGTACAGTTCACATCAATATACGATTGTGGATATTCTATACGCAACCATTATGGAGAACCATTGTACAATAGGGAGTTTTTTGTTTGTTAAAATTGAAATATCCTTCTCGAGGTGGTGAACAAATGAAACCGAATCGTTTTAGGATGCTTAAATCTGATTGGCTCAATAACACACGCAGCCTTCATTTAGATTGGTTGGTCAAAATTCGGCCATGTTTCACCTGACGCGACATCCTTAGGAGGGTTCCTTAGAGAAGTATTGAATCGGGTGAGTGAATGAATGTGGTTTTACGCCGCTTTTAGCAACATTCCAATTATATCACGGTGGGTGACACCAGAAAAATGGGCTTCATACATTGTACCCATGTCTGGAATCAAACCCGGGTCTTCGGTGTGACGAGCGAACGCTTTAACCACTGGGTTTCCGCCCTTGTGTTGAATAGGAGTACACCATCGGAGTTTAATGATATTGTTATATATGTTTTTTTCGGGTGACCGTAATTTTATTCTAATTGAAGAGCCAGTTTCGCGATTGTGAACTTTGGTATTGTAAGGCTCGTTGATTTCACCAAACCCTTAAATATCTACGACCAACGTCACCTAAAAAGTGTTACAATCTGCGAGACCAGAAACTTGCAGAGAATCATTGAGGCTTATATGTTACGATAAACACTTGTTTCAAGGACCGCCTCCGTGGTCTAGTGGTAGAGCGTCCGCCTGGAGAGCGTGAAGGTCAGGGGTTCAATCCCCAGCCGCGTCATACCAAAACACATTAAAAGATGGTACTTGTTGTTACCCTGTCTGGCGCTCGGCATTAAGGGGCTAAAACAAGGACTGGTCGGCTCGGAGTCAGTATACTGTGTCTGAGTGGGATATTCATGTTAAACTGCGGCATGGTATCTCAGTGAGCTAGCACTATAAATCGGCATCAGTTCGGACTAGTACAAGCAGCCACACAAACACACACACGTACATGCACGTCGCTATATTAGTGCAATAATCTTGGATGCGATGTTAAACCCCATTTCACCTCACCTTGTTTCAAGAATCAACATGCAGAAAGGTACAAACGTTCATTGTGCGTCGGTTCAACTGTAAATCACTGTAGGGCGTTTACGGTATTAAGCGGGGTTTTATTCACAAGGATACCACTGTTCAATAATTTCCCGAAAACGCCGTTTCATTAATGATCCTCTGTTTACAGACTGACTACAGTGTAGCTCCGTACAGTTGGACATCAATGCCGGGAAAGAAGATTGCCTTGTTGAGCTCATACATGAACGAAAGTGGGCCTTGGAAGCGTTTTTCCCCGTTGATGCACCCTCGCACAAAGTAAATGTCTTTGATATTGATACTGAAGAATTGTTGAAGGGTTATCGAACTTGACAAACCGTGCAAGACGAACTTTTATCAGAACGTACCATAACATTACTAACATCAGAGGGTGGCCCAGTCGTCTAAGGCGCCGCGATTCGTTGAGCAGAGTTGCGTCCCTCGGGCACGCCAGAAACCTATGATTGTGGGTTCGAACCCCGGTTCGCCCCGATTATGTTTCTATGTTTGTCAGCACCATACCCGTGCTCGTGGGTTCCACCGAAGTGGTAAACGTCTGACACCTGCATCACTTCGGGCTTTCCTCCCACATTAAGCTGACACGCCGCGATATAACTGGAATATTGTTAAAAGTGGCGTTATACCCAACTCACTCACTCACTCACTCACTCACTCACTCACTCACTAACATCAGACACCATAATAATGGTCTCTGCCGACACAAACAGGAACTCTGCACAGCGAATTGCGGCGCGTACGATGGCTGGACCATCCGTGCCCTGCAACAGTTAAGATACTGACTGACCAAGGATCATAATCGGCGTATACCTGGGATTCGAACCCACGTTCATTGTGTGTGCTGATACGACTAAGAGACACAACTTTTACGCAGCGAATTTCCCCGTATAATGCTAAGATATAATAAAATGTGAATTGTAGGTCAGTTCCTGACATGATGAACAAGTTTCGAAAAACAGCCGAGGAGATGACTTTGTTACCAACCACATACGGTTTATAATACCGCTACTCGATCATAAATGATTTTAAGGAAAAGATATTATTACAAATATAATAATATACCCGTCAGTATTGTTGATAATTAAACTCAACGTAACTGAATGAATTCTACGGTAAGAAAGGTAGCCTTTTATAAAGTATAGTTGGTGCACATCCGTCTGAATTTGCAGACTGGCACATACTACCGGAGTGAACACCTGTTCAGCATCCTTTGAGATCCTGTAACGTGTACTACTTGCACTACCGTGCATTTTGTCGGCGTTGCGCTCTAAGTTGTGTATAGTTAGGTAAACGTACTGTATTTTGAAATTTGATTTAGTCCAACTGTAGATTTAAAATTATCTCCATTCTATCATGAAGACAAGAGCCCTTTGAAAGCGGTGCTCTCTTGGAATCGTACTTACACGTGGGCAAAGGGTGAGTGAGTGAGTTTTGGTTTTACGCCGCTTTTAGCAATATTCCAGCGATAGCACGGCGGGGCACACCAGAAGTGGGCTTCACACATTGTACCCATGTCGGGATTCGAACCCGGGTGTTCGGCGTGACGAGCGAACGCTTTAACCACTAGGCTACCCGACCGCCCCCGTGGGCAAAGGGCCTAAAAGAGGTCACAGGTAGTGACATATACAGAAGAATAGTACTCAAGTTCAAAATTAATTACAGTAAACTACGGTTATAACGAACTCAAAGGGACCACTAATTTTAGTTCGTAATAACCGTAGTTCGTTATAAGCATATATACAGCATATACACAACAAATTGCCGGGACTAAAAACTAAGTTCGTTATATCGATCAGTTCGTTATAAGCGTGTTCGTTATAAACGTAGTTTACTGTACTTATAATCTCTACAAGTATAAAATACTGGTTACAAAATATATAGGACATCCCTGTTAATGCGTTCTGTTATTCTCACTTCCAGTACCATGTCACTAGGACTAGCTCCATAAGCTGCATACTGGCGGTACCTTGTTCTGATAACAAACGTGGATGTTTAAGTGCCAAGTGATATCACCGCCTCGTTCTCTGCCATGTTGACATGTGTATACAGTGTCACTAATCTCTAAAA